TGTAAATGAATATTTGGGTAAATATTTTCACTTAACATTAATATCTAGGAATTATGTTTTGGAAAATATCCTCTGAATATGTTTGCACACTAGATCTTAGAGAGTATCTTTTTATACATCATAACTCTTGTATTCCAAAAAGAGAACGAAAAGCTAGCACTGTTTTTAAATTCGAGACTGTCTGAAAGTGTCCTCTCCTTAACATAAATATATTAGGTAGTTTGTTTAAAACTCTTATGCTTGTCCTTGTCATCTTGAATGTTTCTATACTAGCAGCAGAAGCAGGTGAGAGGTCATTAGCTAACGATTTTTAAGTTGGTCCATGTTAGGTTAAAGACCCATTTGTAAATCACTCATGAGTATTCTCTGTTTTCGTATTCAGAGTTTCATGACTATGAGGATCCAAGCGTAGACATCCTCTTCATGGTTCTGTAACAACTGATCTGGTCTATAGGCTACTACGAGTTTACATCTTGGAAATCATCCTGAAGTGGCTGGATGATTTCTGGCTGTTTTGGAAAAGTCCATGGAACGTCTTTGATTTTGCTGTGACTGATGGTATGAATGCTTAAAAATGAAGCAATGTTAATTCAATTTGGTCTTTGTTTTCTTTAGTCTGGATTACAGTGAGACACTTACAGAGGAAGTGAATGCTTGGGGTCGATTTGTAATTGGTAAAATACTCAATAAAAGCTATACTGGTGTTTCAGTGGTATAAGACGCAAACATATTATCATGATTCTTGCATGAAAAATTGCTTACTACTGTTATCTTTGTAAAGTTATAGTAAAGTTCCACTTTTACAACTATTGCAACACTGTCAAACATTAACCCTCCAATCCTGTCGCATTAAAAAAAACTGTATACACCTTTCACATTCTCGGGTCAGTTTTGACCCTTTGAAACGTGGACTCGTAACAATGTTTTTCAGCTAAAACCCTATTATATCTGATCAGTAACTTCTCATTAATTATTGAATGTGCAAATATTTCAAAGTTTTAAATGTTACCATGTTTAACTACATTTACCACCTTTTTATTAATTAAAAAATTGAGAAATTCTTTGAAATTTTAAATTTGACAAGAAATACAGCAAAACCACTGTGACGCGAGAAATTGTTTTTTTTTCAGTATTCACGAGAAATTTTACTTCAATACATCATTATATGACAAAAAATAAGAACATGTAAACTGATAATTACAAGTATTAACTCCATTGGGACTAATGAAACTTAATTAAATTCCTTTCAACTTATGACATTCTTTTTCTAACAAAACAACATAAATATTACATTGGAATGTTTTCAAACAACATATATTCATTTTACTTGCATTACCTTTCACTTCAGATGAACAAGATGATCAACAGCTTGAATATGCAATGCTTCATCAACTGGTGGCAGCAAAGTGAAATCTAGACTTCTCCTCTTTTTCCCGTTTTCAATTTAGATTATTAGGTCTATAAAACCAACTTTTGCTTGCACGCTTTTGGGCTGTAGTTCATTAGATATAGTTTATTTTTTATGTCAGTTGCATCTTTTGTCTGTTGTATAGTGTCTTTTAAAATGCGTGCATTTTACAGAAGTAATTTGAGACTAATTTAAAAGATGTAAAAAAATAATAATAATACATAAATAAATAATCATGTGTAAAACCACAGTTCACCTAAAGATGTTTACAGTTTAGTTTAAATGGTCTTAAAAATTATTTAACAAAATCTAGGGAAAACTTTGATCCATAATCAAAGTTTTTTTTTTTCCTGTACTGAAAATGATGGATTTTGCAAAAATAAAATAAATAATAATAATAATAAAAGATGTAATGCTTCCCGTTTAAAACTGACCCAAATGCAATAGTAGGGTTAAAGGACCAGTTTACCCAAAAATGGTGGTGGTTGAGGAGAGATCCCATGACATGATTGTAAAGCGCTTTGGTTGTACAGCAATACACAACAAAGCGCTAAATAAAATGCCTCATTCATTCAAAAATGAAAATTTGCTGAAAATGCTGAAGATGTATTTATACAAAGTTTTGATCATCTTTTGGACTCTGATGGACGGCACCCATTCACTGCACAGGATCCATTGGTGAGCAAGTGAGGCAATGCTAAATTTCTCCAAATCTGTTCCAATGTAGAAGCAACTCATTTATATCTTGGCTGGCCTGGGTGAACTGTTCCTTTAAATTAATTATTATTTAAACATCTTAAAGGGGAGATAACACACACAGTTTCACCCAATCTCATGTTAATTTTGAGTACCTATAGAGTAGTACTGCATCCTGTATATCTCCAAAACGTCTTTAGTTTATCATATTTATAAAAGAAAGATACAGCTTTACGATTCTCTCCGGAAAAAGCCGAGCTCCTGCAGGCTCGCCGTGGGCGGAACTAAAGATTGACGAGCACTTGAGCTCCGACTGCCAACAAAATACTGTTTTTTTACTGTAGTCCGGTGCTGTCAGTTGAGGTAACTTGTTATGAACCTGGAATATTTCTCTGTCTTTCAAAAATTACACACGTGGTCAACAACTTGACAAGGACACCCCATGTAACATTGTTTTCTGTTAGCCTGTTCTTCCAGCGATTCTCCCCGAGACCTTCAAAGGTGCGCTCATACAGCAAAAAATGTAAAAAACTTCTCACCCAGTTTCGTGTCCTCCGATGTTTGAAGATCGTCTCCAGATTCCAAGATATTCGT